ATTACCAATGTCCATATTGATTAGGTCCCTAGCTTTCGGTACTGCCTGTTGTCCTTTTTTTTGGTGTGTGTGTGGTGAGTTTTCTGCCTTGTCATTTTATCCAGATAAGAATATATGAAAGAGAGAATAAAATATTTAAAGGGTGTTAAAGACCCCAGAAAAATGTATGCTAACCAAATCAGAAGAGACCCTAAATCGGGGGAAAAAGAAAGGGGGTAAAAAGAAATTTAAAAAATCTTTAATATATATATATTATTATATATATAATAATATATATATATTAGACTTGTGAATAGAACAGAGCCACCCACTTGATTTTGGGTGTATTTTGGTCTGTTAGAAGAAACTGTAATCCAAAATTTTATGGAAAGAAAACTTATATATACAGAAAAATAAGAGTAAATATGATGAAGGGATAGAATATAAATATAAAGATGAAAATTTAAATAAAAATTCTAAAAAAAGTATTGATAAGGTCTTTGGAAAAAGAAAAAAAAGGAAGTGGAGACAATTTGCTCAGGCTGGAGACTAGAACAAAGCCCTGTGCTAGATTTAGGGTATATTTTGATCTATTAGAAGAAATTGTATCCCAAAATTTTTTAGTGGAAGAAACTCTATATGTATACAAAAAATAAAGTTAGATACAATGAGGGATAAAATATGACTATAATAATGAAGTTTTAAAAAGATTTTTTTAAAGAAAGGTATTGTTAAGATAAACTAGTTAAAAAAAGGTTAAAAGAGGAAAGAGGAAAAGTTTAAAAAATTAGAATAAGAACAAAACAAAATAAAAAAATTAATTAATTTTGCAAGAGTAAAGAGTCATTGGCAGAAAGCCATGAATTCCATGCTTTGCTTTCCCCTCCTCTGGAAGTGCACTCTTCTCCTCCATCAGTGAGCTTGGTCTTGGCTGGATGTTCTTGCTGATATTCTGGGAAGGGGCCTGATGTAGTGATTCTCAAATGTTTGCCCGAGGCAGAGTCGCGCTGCATTTGGCGGCGGCCAGGCTAAGTAATCTGCTCGGGTTTGCTCTTGGGAGCTTTTGTTCCCTGAATGCTTTCCGTAGAGCTCTGGAGGTCCGCAATGAAAATGGTGGCCTCCCAATCTCCTGCTGGAGGAGCCAAGACCTTAGTTCCCCATTCCTCAGTGTGCCCTCAGAGTAAAGCGCTCAATTACTCCCATCTCCCTGGTCTCCAGCCGTGCTGTGAGCTCACCCAGCCTGTGACCAAGCATTTCTGTCTCTGGCACACAGCCCCGTTTGGGGTCTCTAAACTCAGTAAATTCCTGCTGCGCTGCTCTTCCGGCGGATGAGGGTTAGTCTCCCCAGATCTGCCACTTGTGGGGTCTCTGCTTAAAGAGCAGTGGCCTGACTTTGCCACAGATCACAGTTTAAGGTAAGGCCAAGCTGAGAGCCCCTCCTCGGCTCTTTCTCTGTAGTCGGCTTTCCCACTCTGATACCTGTGAGCTCTGCTACACTCAGATACCCCTGATCCTTCTGTGACCCTGTGGGACCTGGAACCACACTGTCCCTGTGAGGGCTCCATCCCTGCTTAGCCTCTGGTGCGACGTCCCTCAGTGGAGCAGACTTCTGAAAGTTCAGATTTTGTGCTCTGGTGCTGCAATGCTTGCTGGAGGCGGTCTCTCTCCCTGCAGTCTATCTTCTCATTGCTTTGGATTCACTTCTCTACTCATCCTAACTTTCAGAAAGTGGTCGATTTCTTGTTTCTGGAATTGCTGCTTTTCTTCTCTTTGATCTCCTGTTGGGTTTGTAGGTGTTCAGAATGGTTTGATAATTGTCTAGCTGAACTCCTGCCATCTGATGTCATCTCAGTCTGCTACTCCTCCACCATCTTGACCAGTAACCTCCGGGATAGCTGTTTTGTTGTTTCTGGAGTGTTTTTGTTGTTGTTGTTCTTTGTTGTTGTTGTTGTTGTTTGTCCCTAGCAGTTCTGAGGGGATGATTCATTTGAATAATTTATTTTGTTTTCATATTATTCTCCAGCCCTCAATTAAATATGTAAAAATACTGAGTATTATGCTATTCTACTTTATATTCAAACTAAATATTGAGGGCGTGAGATAGCATTACCTCTAAATAGATTCTGATGCCTGGAAACTAACATATCTTGGTTCTTCCTGGTCAGTAACTTTTTGCTACTTAGGGAGTTAACCACAGTTTTCTTGTCAGTGAATTGGGTATAGTAAGATACCTCAAAGGTTTTTTTAATAGGTTAAGCTCTGGACACTGATAAGCATATAGCAAGCTTTAAATAAACGAAAGCACTCTTATTATTTTTATTATTACAGTGAAATTTTAAAATTCTTTCTCTGCCTCTTCTGCTCCACTTCTTCATCTACCTTGTCTCATAGGGCTAGAAGATAAGTCCATGGGATGGGATAGCAGTCGCCTCAAATGAGAGAAACTTCTGATCGTATTCATTTTGTAAAACAAGAATAAAATGAGTACGCTGAATATTTTCAGATGCTATTGGGAAGAACTTTTTAAAAGTACATTGAGATTTTAGAATAATTACATTTCTTAAACTTCAAATAGTATATTATCTCCAGAGCTGAAAGTGTGAATTGGATTCATGTGCACACACTGTCTATTAAAATACAAACTTTCAAAGCATTGATGTATTTTTTTAGGCTTCATAATTTCTTGGACGAATTTTAGTATTTTATTCTAGTAAAACTGTACTTTAACAAAAGGTACATTTATGAAATGAATGTATCACTAAAATATATGGGCCTAAACATGTAAAAAAATAATGGAAGTGGCATTAAATATTAATGAAAATGTAAGATCTTTACGTTCTATTGGTCCAAAGTGTAATTACCAAGTGTAAATTTGAAGATAATCCCAAACATCTGTTTCTGATTGTCTTAGTACAAGAAAAAGTTTAGTGACTGTTAAACCCTTTATTCCTTAAGTAGGATATAGGATAACCCCATCTCTATTTTAAAAGAATGTGGGATGTGACCTTAATTTTTCTTTTCTCTCTTCTTTCTTTTCCTCCCCTCCCCTCCATTTCCCTTGTGTTCCCTCCGCCACCCCAAACCCAGTTGCAGGCAGTTAGATTAATTATATTCCTAGGTTCACGGCCAGTTTGAGCATGGCTGGGATGATCCCTGCAGATTTCCTCTCTTCTATTCCTGTGATTATTCCCTTTTATCTCTATTCCTAACTTCTTTTTTCCTTTGCACCGTGGACAACTGTTCTAATGTACTTGATTTGCATCCTTTGATTTATAATCTATCTTTGTAAACTGTGTAGTGATATTTTGGTTGTGAATGAATTTTTAATATATATTTCTGGATCTGTGACACAGAATGCCTCTGATGTTTTGATTCTTTGTCAGCTTTCTAAGGTCCGTTCATGTGACAATGTTTACAGGGAATTTGCGCGTCCTTATTTCTGCATTGTAATCTATAAAGTGTATGTCCCACATGCTACTCCCATGACAATGACATGTTGATTTGGTTCCCAGTGTCAGCCAACACTAAGAGGCTCTCATTAAACACCCTCTTACATGTTCTCTGGGAGTGGGATTGCTGGTTAGGGCTTGTTCTGGGCTTAGTGATTCTTGTTGATTAGACGGAGTTCTGTCAGATGGCCCTACAGGATGACTCTCACAGTCTTACATGGCCACTAACAGGATACAAAGCCTTCCCCCCACAACCCAGCAGAACTTGGCTTTATCCAGTTTTCTAAATATTTCCAATCTCAAATCTTATTGTAATAACTTACGTTTCTCTGGGTTATTGAGGAATTTGAATATTAGTTAAATGCTTTAAATTTTTTGTTTTGTTTCAATTTTGTTCAAATCCTTTGCCCATTTTTCCTCTGTTGGATTTCTTATCTTTTTCTGGTTGCTTTGTTAGTTTTTTTCTTCAAAGTACAGTCTCTTATTTACATTGTTTGAAATATATTTTCCTGGTGTATGAATGCATATTTAACTTTGTCCATTTTATCCCTCAATAATTAGAAGTCCTTAATTTTGAGATAATCAAGTTCATAATTTTTAAAAACCTTTTGAGTTAGAGGTCTTTTTAAGAAGTCTCTTTTCCTTCCACAGAGAAATTCTTCTACATATTCTTGTTAGCTTTACCTTTTCACATTTAACTTTTAAAACTATCTGGAACTTACCTTTGTATATGGTAACTATGGTATAAAAATCAAGTTTTTTATTTCTCTTATATTAAGCTTAGAAAAAATTTGAGTTTATTAATAAACAATGTGAAAGTATTGATTGAAATTACATAGAATTTATAGATTAATTTTGGAGATTTGACATCTTTATAATGTTAAATTGTCCCACCAATGAGCCTTGGGAAATTTCTCTGTATTTTTCAAGTTTTTGTCTTGGATACTTCCAAATAGTCAGACTAGCTAGATTTAAAAATTGATCTGATATAAAAAAAGTTGACTTGGTTGATGTGATCAAATTTAAGTAATAGAAAAAAAAAACTATAGCTGCACTGATTAATTCTATAGGATAATTATATAGGTGTGAAATCATAACATTAACCTTTAAAATGTACTTTTTATAGTTCCGATTAATGTGTTTTCCTCTCAACCATATCTCTGGTAGCTAAATCTTCAGTGGTTTTTTAATTCAATGATTTTTTTTACTTTTGTTTTATCATTGAAAAATGTTAAATGAATAGCTTCTATGAAAAGAATTAGTATTTAGTTGACAGCTAATGGCATTTTAAAGGTCAGAATTCTGTAGGGCAGTTTTATATTTTTAGAAGTGATGTTTATGTTAACATTGAGCTTTTGTAGTCTTGATGCAAGAATCAATCACATTTAAATTAGAATAGTGACAGCAGTTTTCATACCGAAAAACAAAAGAAAACAAAACAAAACAAGGGTACAACAATTTTAGTGTAAGTTTTGGCAGCTCTTACCTTAAATGAAAAAATAAAACCCAAAATTTATTTTGGTAAATACAATATTCTATTTTGTGAAGAATTATAAGAGAAAAGGGATTTTGATGCCTTAAACTTATGAGTAAGGAGAACAATGATTGAGCCTGATACCAGAATGTTCACGGCCAATGTGAGATGAATTATTGGGCTGGTGAAGGTGGCCCTCAGGGTGACCTGCCTACTTTGCTGGATGCCTGGGAGTCACCATCTGCCTGCGTTCTCCTTCAAAACACTGAAAGAGTAGACTGGTAGGAAAGTAATAAAAGAGCATGAGGAAAAAGAATAAGGCAGGGAAGATATTGAAAAGGAATTGTTTTCATATTTGAGTATGATGAAATCCTCCATCAATGTCTTTCCGCCAAAGACATTCAGGAACATATTGATAGTAAAGAATTTGGCTTAATTACTACTCTGATTGAGGGAACATTACACTGTGGGGATCCTGAGGTTATATCATAAGATTTGAATTTAGTTTGGGTGATTTGGGAGAGGGTCTAAAGGAGCAGGACTGTTCTCTAGGTTGGATGCTAGAGCAATTCTGTGACTGGATAAAGAAGTCATTCATTTAGCAAGAGAAAGGGATGTTTGGTATTTTGTGGGTTTACTGCAGCCTTTTCCTTTTTTGTGTTTGGTAAAATTATAAAGTAATCTTGCTTTGTCTCACTTATAATGGGTTCAAAATAACCTTGTCTCAAATTGGTATTCTGTAAGAATGTGTAGGGACAATTAAAAAAAAAAAAAAGGTAGCCTGATTGTGAGTGTCTGAGTTCAGGACATCAAAGTCTACCCTTCTTCTCCCCCCTGCTTTCTCCCTTCCTTCCTCTTTCATCCGTAAGTAGGTAAAATTGTTTTAAACATATATTCTTAATTTGGGAATTTTCATTTTTCATTTCCCAGGCACCCAGGGCAATGACTGAATCATAAGGATGTGAGAGACTTCTAGCCATGCAAAAAACAAGAAACTTGGCATCACATTGTGGCTTTGCCTCAGATAACCTTGCCAGGGATTTTTAATTCTGGGTTGCGTTCTCACTTTGAAGTAATCATCTCCCCTGCTGCCTGTCCCAGTGGGGGCCACCTTCAATCCTTTGCTTTTACTCTTCCCCTTAGCTGGATTCACCAGTTTTTGCAAGGCTGGCTCCCTTATCTTTCCGTCCTTAGACATCACCTCCATTTCCTCCTTTCTAAGATAATCTCTGTATAAATTCACCTCAACCCCTCCATCTTACATGGCTATTTTGTTAACAGTTATCATTAGCACTTACCATTATCTCAGTTAACTCATTTACTCTGTTGTGTGGTTGGTTCTTCCTTCCCCACTCCACTTCCCACTTCAAACATGAGCTCTGTGTGGGTGAGAACTTGCATGTACGTGCAGCTCCAGGTGCCTGGTCCATTATCAGGTTCTTCACACCAAACAGGTGCTTAGCAAATACTGGTTTAAGAATTGCGTATGTAGATGAGTGAACAAATGAATAACCAACTCAGTAAACATATATTCTAAACATAACTCTGTCTGTTGACTATTAAAGAGACAATTATTAGCTTAATATTTCACTGATATATAAGTACCTGAGAAAAATGTCAATCTGTTTCTCTCAAAATAGGCCTTAAAATTTTCAAAGCAGTTCTTTGCTCTGTTTTTTTCAGTGTCTGTATTCTAAGACTCTGGGCTAGATGAGATAGTACTATAATGGTGTTTTCCTGGTGCTTCAATTACTATTTGGAGGCATTTCTCTGGAGTGATTCCAGTGTAAATAGAATTTCATTTACTAATGCCATAATCAGAGCAGAACTTTGGGAGAGGTGAAGTGTGTTGAAAACAGCCTGGCTGTTAGAAGTTTCCACAGAGCCATACTTCATTCATTTGGTAATGTTGGTGGCAGGGGAGGAAGGGCTAGATAGAAAATACATGTGATATTAACCTTATTAAATTTGAAGATAATTATAATTTACTATATGCTTTTCCTACCATTTTGTATTTCCTGTTATTAAATTTAGTATTTGAATTTGAGAATATTTTAAGCTAATTTGACCATATTTTAAAACTAAGTTTCATCTTTCACTTCATGGATTCAGTTTTTCATGGATTTATAATGCCAAGGTCTGATTTGTAGTGTGTGAATATTGGTTTGTGGTGAAAGATGACATGTGGTCTGAAAATGCTAGGTGGACGGTGGAAAAAGTTTGGAAGCCACCAGACTTGGATTGGAATTCCTGCTCTGATACTTTTGTATTAACTTTGCAAGTTCTTTAGTGTCTCTGAGTCTGTTTTCCTCACTCACAGAGTGGAGAGAGTATTTATGTATAGGACTGGGTTAAGAGCTCAGCGAGACGATCCATTTCAGGAGTGTGGTGTCGTATGTGATGTTATTAGGTGATGAATAATTGTACGAACAGTGCTTTCCTTCTGTTTTCCATCAGAGGAAAAAGGAGGTATATGACTTTCCAAATATAGAAAATTATTACTCTCTGTAGATGATATAAGGCCATAAAGTGCATTATATTTGATATTATTTCTATTAGCAGAGCTTGACATTATAAATTACAAAAAGTATCGATCACAATAATATTAATGATAATAGCAAATATTTGTTGAGTGTTCGCCACATGACAGGCACTGTCTTAACACCTTACATACATTAACTCATTTAATCCTCACCACAAAACCCATGAAATACAAATTATTTTTCCTGTTTTACAGATGAGTAAATTAAGGCACAGTGTTAAATTAGCAGGGCATACCGGCGACTTTGCCTTTGCAAGATTATACACCTTTTTATGCATTAAAAATGGGTACCCCCAAACCCCTTCATTCCTCAGATATAGTCAGTAATTATCCAAGTTAATATACCTTGATGCACATAAGCCTTCTTCTCATCCTTGTCTTCTACCTGGGAAGGATTCCAATTTCAGGACTCCACACCCCATGTCCTTGTGGTAAGGAAGAAAGAGAATAGAAGTATCCAAGTTGGAGGGCCAGGTCAGCTTGAGAGGCATTCTATACAGACAGTGGTTGACAGTGTATCTTTGGTCTTTTGAATGTTGACAAATCATCATTACTTGAGGTGAAAGATTAAGAGCATACAGAAATTACAGATTTTATTTAAACATTATATATGGCAGTTCCTGGGTGGCTCAGTCAGTTAGGTGTCTGACTTCGGCTCAGGTCATGATCTCAGGGTCCTGGGATCGAGCCCTGTATCATACTCCCTGCTCAGCGGGGAGCCTGCTTCTCCCTCTCCCTCTGCCCCTCCTGCCCTCTTGTGCACACATATCCTCTCCCCCACTCTTTCAAATAAATAAATAAATAAAATCTTTAAGAAAAATAAATATTATGTATGAAAATAATGAGACAGTGGTTTTCCTACAAATAGATTTATTAGCAGGGAAGGTATAAAAGAATATTATATCTGAACAAACCATGTGTATTTAACCACTTTAAGGAATACAGTGTTTTACCAATATGTTCTGATTAATTATTAAGCCTCTTTATTGCTTTGATCTTAGTTATCTTGCTTTTTATCCTGTTCTTCCACGTCATTTATCAATTTTATCATGTTTGAATGAAATCTTTGCTTACTTTAAGATGATTTCTTACAGTTTCTCGTTCAGTAAGTATACAGTAATTTCAGGCCAGGAAGACCCCTACCGAAATTTGAAAGAGCCTGAAGTCTTTGTAGGTGAGCTTAAGATAACATTGTTCTTGGCCTTATGATGAACTGCATATGTATATCAGCTTTGAGACATAATAATTAATTTTTTTAAGACTTTGTATTTAATCTCCTGGCTTGATGAAATGTTGGAGTATAAAGGAAATAAATTTTCCTTCTTCAGAATGTTTTATGAAGGTTTTCTCTCACTGTGGTACTTCCTGATGGCCTGATATTATGTCATGTGTAATTGGATTGACGCTCAGCCTGAATACTTCTTTCTCTTCTTGGCAGCATGGGGTAACCTTGGAAATGTTCTGAAGAGTCAGAGCAAAATTTCTGAAGCTGAAAGCGCCTATAGAAATGCTTTGTACTACCGCAGCAACATGGCTGACATGCTTTATAATTTGTGAGTATGCATTACTTTCTCTGGTTTGGTTCATCTTTGAAACCTGTGGCGAGAGACTATTGATTTAACTGCTGGAAATGGAAATGATGGTGGCTGTTTTTCTGAAATAGTCTTTTCATTAATCATACCCGTGAGAATAGTAGGTGAATAGTATTTGTGATTTCTTTGTTTGGGGCTTCTGCGTCAATATCTGTGCGTATTGATGTAGTGTGGTTGAGGGTTTTGTTTTTTGTTTTTTGTTTTTTGATGTACTATGTCATATAACAATTGGTTAAATGCTTGTAGTTTTTTGTTTTTTTGTTTGTTTGTTTGTTTTAAGTTCCATTAATACTTAGTTGGGATCAGAAAAACAGGTTGGTATGTATAATACTTCATATAATTAGTATTTTCATGATTAAGAATAGATGTAATCCTCTAATAAAGAACTGTTAGTGTCAGAGTAGATACAGAACATGTACTAAATCTGGGGAGTTATCAATAGATGATGTGGTTCCACCTTCACCTCCCACCTCTCCCCTCCTCCAAAGGTACTGGTAATTAAGTTAGGATAATGGGATAATTTAGAGTATTTATGTATGTCAGGTTAGAAAAATCCCTAGGAAAAATCTGCTGTTCTTTGGCTGGAAAGCCCTGGGGGGTACAGCAAGATATTAATGGAAACAGGCAAAACCTGAATCTCTTCTTTGTCTTTTATATTTATGACATTTTTTTGTTTGCAAGTAATAGAAACTTGTTCTAACTTTGCTTCAACACAAAAGAGAATTTATTAACTCCTGTACTGAAAATTCCTGGGGTTGACTAAATGTAGGCATAATTAGAGGCAGTGTTTTTTGTTTCAGAGATTTTTCTATATTTTGTGTCTGTGATTTCTTTTGGGTTCACTCCATTCTTTGTAGGACTCTGTGTGTATCACTTGGAAAGATGAAAAAATCATACACCTTTGTAATATCCTGACTCTTGTCAAACTCAGAAGGAGTTGCATTGGTGTCTCTGTTAATCCTGGGAAAGGTCTCTGGATGACCCTTCTGGGATTATGTGTCCTCTCTTGAGGGAAACATGGGGGAGACTGGCAAGAGCAGTAAGACACTTCCTTTGCCAGGGACTCCGGTGTTGGACTCATTTAGAGAAGGATCACGTCCCTGTAGGAAGGGAC